ACTGAGCTGCGGATCAGATTGTGGAATTTGGCATCAGTGACCTTAAGCTCAAACCCTGGCACTGCTGTGGTGACTTTGGGCAGGTCGTCTGTGACAGATGCTGCCTGTGCCCACCATGTCTCCTCTGCTAAGCTCACTCAGGGCCCTAGGCCCAACTCCCAGCTGCCTGAGTCTCCCTCTGGGGTCTTGTGTTAGTCATGTCTTTTATTTTCTATGTTCTGATGCTTTGACACAGGCCAGGCTGACCCTGGAGGGATGGCCTCCGAGTCCTAGAGAGAGTAAAGCAGTTGCCATGAGCACATCTTTCATATGCAAACCAACACATCCAGAGCCAACGCCACAAGCACCTCACACTCCAGACCAGTGTCCACCCGCCCTAGTCACCCCAGGGCCAGGTACCAGACAGCTAGCCTCTGTGCCCTGGTCCACTAAAATGATTCAAACTGGCCAATCCTAAGCCTGCTCACGTTGCTCACTCGTTCCTTCCTATGGAAACCACAGTAAAGGCTCTCACCACATGTCCCCCTCTCCCTCTGCCTCCTGAGCAAACCTGGTGCTTCCCTGTGTGGCCCTACATGGTGCAGTGTGCTCCCAGCCCCCTGGCCCCTCAGGCAGGTTAGCTCTGAGGCGCTGGTTCTATACAGTGAGAAAGCCGGGCCCTGGGGCTCTCCTGTTGAACATAAACGGTCACAGAACATCAACATCAGACAAGGTCACTCTGAGACAAAGAAACAATCAACTGTACCTATCCTGGTGATATAAGTGGCTGCTGCTTTGTTACCAATTACAACTCGTGCTTCCCTTCATTCCTTATGCTTTCTAATAAAACTTATTGATACTCAAACATAGAACAAGCCCCACTTCCTAACAGCATCCAGTCCAGCTCTGCTTCTTTGAACCTCTTCAAAATTGCCTTACATGAGCCCCAACCCTACTCAAGTCCTCCCTAACACCATTGCACTGAGATGCCTTACGATTTTGCGTGGCAAGTGTTTCACCTCACCTCATCACGGCAGGTCTAAACGACCCTGGCGTCATCCTGGGGTCTCTGCTGGGACAGGGTGAGTGGCACACAGGCTTCCCCTACAACCAAACTTCAGTTGCCTCCAGACCTAAGTTGCTTGATGCCACACTCTGTGTATCAGTGTCCTGGGGCCACTACAACAAAGTATCACAAATCAGGAAGCTTAAAACAACGAAGGAATCTTTGGCCTGCCTTCGCTTGTAGCTGCACCACTGCAATTCCGCCTCCACCATCACATTTCTGTGTGTCCTTTTCCTCTTCTTTTTTTTCTTTTTCTTTTTTTATAGTACACACCTTAAATATATGTAGTTTATTGTGCATTAATTATACACCAATAAATCAGTTAAGTAAATCATTAAATTATTTTGCAATTTTCCTGCTTCTGTCTTGAAAAAATAATCTGGAAATATTATACCTCCAAAATAATAGAGAAATATTTAGCAAGTCTTTCCCTCTTCTTACAAGGACACCAGTGATTGGATTTAGGGACCACCCTAATGCAGTAGGACCTCATCTTAACTAATTACATCTGCAAAGACCTTCTGTCTTGGTCACATTCTGACATTCCAGGTCAACATGAATTTTGGTGGGGGACACCATTTAACCCATCATAATCTACCCTTTGACCCCCTCAAAAGTCACTTTGGTCCCACTTTCAAAATATATCCACCCCATCCCAACATCTCCCAAAGTCTTAACCCATTCCTAAAGGGAGAAAAAGGAAGGAACGAAGGAGTCACTGGTCCAAAGCAAGTCTGAAGCCCAGCATGCACATTCCAGTAGATTTCAAGGCCGGCAAATAACACTTTGTGGCTTGATGCTCTGTCCTTTGGGTGCATGAAGGTGGCCCTGCTCTCTGGCGCTTTGGCAGCAGCCGCATCCCACCTTCTCTGGTCTCTGCCTCTGCATTCATGGCTCTGCCCTCCAAGCCATTCTTTCTTCACTTCATTTCATCTCTGGGCCTCTCAATCTAGACTGGCAGAGTTTCCACTAATGTAACAGTCTCAAAAGCCTTGTTGGTCTTCTGCGTAATTCACAGGGAGCTACACCATCAGGTAAGAGGCTCCACAGATCTTTCCTGAATAGCCCCATCTCTCTTCCTGCATTCCGCTGGGATGGTGGAGTATACCCGCAAGTCACAGATTTAATCTCTTCAACACTAGGTTCTCCCACAACATCTTTGGTGCTGTCTTTAGACCACACTTTCTGAACAGTGAATTTCCTAATTTTAACAGGCTGAGGACTTCCCAAATCATCAAGTGCTGGTTCCTTTTGCTTAACAGTTCCTTCTGCAATTTATATCTTTCCTCTCAGATTTTACTACAAGCAGCAAGGAGAAACCAGGCCATATCATTCATATTTTGCTTAGAAATTTCCTCAGCTAAATATCCAAGTTCATTCCTTACAATTTCTACTTTCCACTCAACCCTAGAATACAATTCAACCAAGTTTCTGCTGCTTTATGGCCTGTCCTCCAGTTTCCAATAATTGGCTCTTCATTTCCATCTGAGACCTCACCAGAAGCACCTTTCATGTTCATACTTAATACCAACATTATGTTCATGACCATACATGTATTCTCTGAGACAATAGAAACTTTCTCTACATTCTCCTCACTTCTTTCTTTTCTTTTTTGGAGGTTCTTTTTTTTTTTTTAATTGACGTATAGTTGATTTACAATGTTGCATTAGTTTCAGGTATACAGCAAAGTGATTCAATTATACATACGTATATATCTATTTTTTTCAGATTATTTTCCCTTATAGGTTACTACAAAATATTGAGTATAATTCCCTGTGCTATACAGTAGGTCCTTTTTGTTTATCTATTTTATATATAGTAGTGTGTATATGTTAACCCCAAACTCCTCATTTATCCCTCTCTCCCACTTTCCCCTTTGGTAACCATAAATTTGTTTTCTATGTCTGTAGGTCTATTTCTGTTTTGTATATAGGTTCATTTGTATCATTTTTTCTAGATTCCACATATAAGCGTTAACATATGATATTTGTCTTTCTCTGTCTGACTTATTTCACTCAGTATGACAATCTCTAGGTCCATTCATGTTGCTGCAAATGGCATTATTTCGTTCTTTTTTATGGCTGACTAATATTCCAGTGTGTGTGTGTGTGTGTGTGTGTGTGTGTGTGTGTGTATAGATCACGTCTTCTTTATCCATTCATCTGTCGATGGGCATGTAGGTTGCTTCCATGTCTTGGCTATTGTAAATAGTGCTGCAATGAACATTGAGGTGCATGTATCTTTTCAAATTATGGTTTTCTCCAGCTATATGCCCAGGAGTCCTCACTTCATTTTAACCTCTCTCTCCCCAGAATTGTCTTTATTGTCCATATTTCTACCAACAATCTCTTCAAGGAAATCTAGGCATTTTCTATCATGTGCCTCAAAACTCGTCCAGCATGTATACATTACCCAATTCCACAGCCACATTTTTAGGTATCTGTTATAGAAGCATCTCCCTTCCTGGTACAAAATCTGTGTTAGTTTTCTAGAGCTGTTGTACACATTTCCAAATTTAGTGGGTTAAAACAACAGAAATTTATCCTTTCAAAGTTTTGGAGGCCAGGGCCCAGAAATCAAGATGTTGTCAGGGCTGTGCACCCTCCGGAAGCTCTAGGAAAGGATCCTTCCATGCGTCTTCCAGCTGCTGGCCACTCTGGGTGAACTTTGGTCTTCCTTGGTTCATAGCTGCAGCGTGCCCATCTCTGCCTCCATCATCACAAGGCCTTCCCCGTGTGTCCCCTCCTCTTCTTATAAGGACACCAGTCATAGGACTTAAAGCCCACTCTATTCTCATCTTAACTAACTACATCGGCAAAGAACTTATTTGCAAATAAAATCACAGTCTGAGGGTCCAGGTGGACATAGATTTAGGGTGGGGGATACCATTCAACCCAGGACGCCAACTTGTGTGGGCTTTTTCCCTTCTCTGCCTTATTCTCCATTCCCCTCCTATTCTTCCTGTGTTGCCTCCCAAATAAACTCCTTGCATTCAATCCGTGTAGCAGGATCTGCTACTGGGAGAAAACTACCGAAGACACAGGGCCCCCTGCTGTGAGCCAATGGGGACCCACCTAAGACATGCCCGCCCCCACCCTGTAAGCTACTGGCAACCCATTTAAGACATAACTCCTGGTGCTGAGCTACAATGTCCCCCTCTGTGAGTGGAGTGAAGATAATGGCCCTTTCCTCTGAGGTTTCGGGAGCACAGAGGAGAGAATGCCGTAGGGCTCTGGGTTTAGGACCACACACAGGGAATGGCCACTCCCTACTTCTGGGAAGCGGGGTGCTTTGGGAATGACCCCAATATTTTTCCTTGCAGTGGATGGGCTACTCTTTTGTCAGTTTTCCAGTGCCCCTTGGGGGCAGATGTCGTTCTGGGGGGCTATAATGTGCTTTCTGAGTTCTGATAGAGCACAAGGAAGTGGAGCTCCCTCTCCAAGATGGAGATTCATGGGATGGTGGCATGTGCATTGTGAGCGGGCAGAACTGGAGTGCTTAGGACCAGGCTCCCGGGGCAGGCCTGGCCCTGGCAGGAAATGGAAGATTTTTGTCCCTCTCAGGGATACTGCCAGCCTGGATTCTGCTGGGGAGAGAGGGTCAAGGCAGGACTTTTTGGAGGGTGCAGGCTGGTCCCTGCAGATGGGGTCTGCGGGGTGGGGCAGGGCCATAGAAGAAATCAGACTCCAAAAGAACTGTATTCTCTCATGGCTGCTTCAGGTGAAGTCAGAGGTGGGTTTCTTCCTGCCTCTGTTCTCCCATCCTGGTTTGGGCTCCCCAGGAGGCCCTTCCATCCCATTCCAGGATGGCCCCCTCCACCCTCAAGCGGGGGACTATCTTAGGTCACATGGCCATCTTGGACCAACCCCAGCAGAGGGAGCGGGAGAGCTGGTCAGTGAGCCTGAGCCACAGGAGGGCTAGCTGGAATCCTTCCCCTGTAACCTTCACTTTCTAGGATCTTGGGGCCAGATGGCCCACCCAAGCCACCAGCTCTTCTCCTTGGCAGGAAATTCCCTAGGCACTACCTGGTATTTGCCATCCTGCTGGTCAGAGAGGACCAAGTCCAGTTTGGGGACAGCACAGAGGGGCCATCAGGAAGGTAAGACAAGGCTGAGAGAGCAATGTGGGTGTGCCACTATCCTCAGGGATCCCTGGTATGCTCCCATCAGTGGGGGGGCCACTGAGGCCCAGCAGACAGCGGCTTGAGCACACCTGGGCTTTGAGGGAGATGGCGCGGGTGCCATGGGACAATGGCTTCCTGGGGCTGCAAGGACCTCCATCAGAGCTTTGCACCTGTGAGCAGGGCACCAAGCCCAGAAATCTGTTGGGTCAGCAAGACCAGGCCTGGTGGGCCTTGTGGCCAGGAGGGCGGGGGAGGCCAGCTTTCTAGGACGGAATGTGCAGAATGTAGGGTGGGAACCTGGCTGCTCCCCCATGGCCTGCCCTAGCCCCAGTTATTTCTCTGGCCCTTTTTCTCTCTGTTTTCTCTCTTGTAAATGGGGGGCAGTGGTGGGTGTGGGAGGGTATGTGACCAGGGAGCAGCCTGGCCTCTTGTCACAGCTGGTTGCCTTGGGACCATCTGGAGCTCCTCAGATCACTTGGAGGACTTAGGAATACCTGGAGCCCCCAGGGGACACCTGGAGCCTCACAAGGACCATCTGGAGCCCCTGGCGACCATCCGGGGCCCCCTGAGACAAACCGGAGACCTTTAAGGATCCCTGGGGCCCTCAGAAACACCTGGAACCCCTCAGGACCACCTGGGGCCCTCAAGACCACCTGGAACACCTTGTGACCACCTGGAGCCCTCTGGGACCACGAAGAGCCCCTTGGAGACCCCGCGAGGAGGGGGAGGTGACTGAAAGGAATGGGCGGTGGGGGGTCCATAGTGCAGCCACCCTCTGTTGCCAGCCGGGCCTCCCAGAAGGATCATTCAGAGAGAGCTCGTCTGTAGAAACATTGCAGTGGCTCTTGGGGAGGTGAGCCCACCCTCTTTCCTAGATGCCAAGCACCTGGACTAGCTGCTCACAGGGGCTTGGATTCTAGGGCCCTGTCAGACCCCAGGAGGTGGGGAGGCCCTTTGAGCATCTGGGGTATGAGGGCTAGAGCCCCCCAAGGCCTGGGCTCTGAGGTTTAGGGTAAGCAGGGACTTCAGGGGCTGATCCTGCCCCTTCCATGTGCACAGTGGTCCGCTGTCCCCTTGGAGGGTGGTGACGGATGGGCACAGGTGTACGGCGGACCCACCTGGGTCCAAATGCCCCTCTGCTGATTTCCTGGGGCATGGCAGCCCCTTTGGGTCTTGTGTGCTGGTTTCTGCAACGGGACCAGACATCTGAGGAGGAATTGGCTGTATGTCCTGGAGACCTGGGGACCTCAGAGGAGGCAGGAGAGCACTGGGCCTTTATGATCTCAGACAGCCTCTGTCTCTCTCTGAGCCTCGATTTCCCCATCTGTTAAAAGAAGATTCCAGACCCAAAGTGCTCTGGGGCTGCATGGCAAGAACAAAGTCTCTGAGCTTTCACCCAAGCTGTTGGCAAATATTAACTGAGCACATACTCTGTGCCAGGCACTATTGTAGGTACTTCATTCTGCTCTCAGAACTTCTGTTCTAGATGAGGAGACAAAGGTTAAACAAGAGAGCAAATACCCCAACAAAAAGTAGAAAGACTGGGGCAAGGGCTCTTTGTTGAGGTTCACGGAGCAGACTCTTGCAAAGTCCTGCAGGAAGAAACCCCAGACAGACAGAACAGCATGTGCAAAGTCCCTGAGATGGGAAGGAGACTGGTGTGTTCTGAAGGTCCAGTGGCTGGAGCCTGGTGACCTGGGGTGGGAAAGGAGCAGTGCGGGGGCGCCGGACAGGAGAAAATGAGGCTGGAAGTGTGACAGGGCCAGAGGCTACAGGGCCTGAGTCCAACCCCTGAGTCCCAGAAATCCAAGTGGCCGGCACACAGGAGGTATGCCAGCAGTGCCTGCTGAATGAAGAAATGGACAAAGAGTGAATGAGTGACTCCTGGCTGGGTCCCTAACTCACTGTGTGACCTTGGGCAAGTGTATTTCCCTCCCTGGGGCTTAGTTTCACTGCTACTAAGACACCCTGAGTTGTCATTATTTTCAGCGAATGGCTGGGCTGGGTGCCTGGCTGCAGCAGACCCTTGTGTATGTTGGCTCCTTCCTCTTCCCAGGACTGTGAGGGACACGGCCAGCATCCCCCCTGGGCCTAGTGGGGAATGTGTGTTCCCAAGGCTGAAGAGGAGCAGCCCCTGGGGGCACAGAAGACCCTCAGCTCAGGCCTTTGACTCCTGTGACAGTTGGGTACTTCAGACCCTTTTCCTGCCCCGTCTGGCATTCTTTAGGACCCCAGAGGCCCCAGGGCCCACCTCCTGCTCCGCCCACTGGCCTCCCTTCTCCCTCTGTTCAAGGGATGGCCTCCTGTCCTGCAGGGTTGGGGGCTGGACTTGGGGAGGAGGAGGAGGAGGGACAGAAAAGGAAGGTCAGTGGAGAGGCTGAAAGCCAGTGTGCGTCCAGCCTCCACCCTCTGTGGGTGGGCAGTGCAGAGTGCCCAGGCCTCAGGCTATGGGAGCAAGATGAAGGTAGACAGAGGTGGGCAATGTGCAGGTAGGAAGAAGCCCAGGCCCAAGGGTCACCCAAACACATGGTGTGGAGACTCCAGGCAGGCAGCCTGCTTCTCAAGTCCTTACTGGGGCATCCAGAGGGCCAGGCCAGATGCCCCAGCCGGAAGGGTCCCTGGGGACAGACCTGCCTTCTGGGGCCATGCACCGGCCACCCACCCCATGACTTCAGACTCCACAATAGTTATTAACATTTATCAGGATATTTCACACGAACACCTGAGTTTCTTTCATCTCCTGAAAAGCTGGAAGCTCTGGCCACACAGGTCCATGCCTGCGTGGGGACAGCTGGCAGAGGCTCCCCTATATCACCATGCCTGCTGGCCTCCAGCATGCCCGTCATGGGGGTCTGTGTTGAGACTTGCTGGAGACACAAGGCCCTGTCTCCAGCTCTGCCCTGGTTGCCCCCATCGCAGCCAACTGGATCTGTTAAGACCCCCAAGCCTGCCCCGTGGCTCTTGCCTCCTGGAGCATCACCAAATGAGACCCCGTGGAGACCCCATGACAAGGCCTTGTCTCCCCCATGCTCCCTCTGCTCCTTGCTGTGTGTCACTGGCTCCTCCAGGCCTTGGTGGCCCTGCACTCAACTTAGGCACCCTTCCTGCAACCCCTCCCCCAGGGTGTCCTGGCTGGGAGTGGGGCTCCTAGGGAACTCCTGCCACACCCCCTGCCATGCCCACTCCCCTTCCCTGCTTCTGTTCCTCCCCTGTGGCTGCACACCTTCTCAATGTCTCAGTGGGAATAGCCACTCCAAACAGAGGGATTTCCTTTCCTCTGTGTTCTCAGGGCCCAGCACTGTCCAAAATGGACAGCGAGGACATTTTTCCGGGTCCTGCTGCAGCCACAGCCTTTGGGACGCCTCCTGTTTTCACCCTTGTAGCTGGCCCCAGGACATATGGACTGTGATGGAATATAATGTCCTGGTGTACCCCGAGCTGCTAGGGACAGAATGCCCACCTCGCCAGCCTTCCGATGTGCTGACTGAGGACAGGACCCTCCTGAAATTACTGTGGAAGCTTGCGTGCCGGGCCCCCCACGCTGTTGGCTGGGAGAGGATAGGGCTCAGGTCTGCCCTGGGGCACAGAGAGCTCACTGGGAACCGGCCACGGGGACCCTGGGCGGGAACCCACAGTGGGGGCTACGGGTGAGGACCCTGGATGGGGGGCCCAGTCTTGCCCCCTCAGACCCCAGCAGAGTGGCACCATGTCCAGCAGGTCAATTCCAGCTGCCCACTAGGTCTGGAACTGTGGGACTCTTGGGGGCATCCTTTCTGTGACTGTTTCCTCAACTGTCAAGTGGGAACATCCTGGGGTTTAGGTGAGACTGGAGTATTACAGAGTTGACCCTGAGAAGGAGCCCCACTAGGCCCATGCTCAGTCAGTGCATGAGGCAGAGAGCAGAGCTCCGAGGGAGAAGGGGCAGGACCAGCGGGAAGAGGCCGGCTGGGATCCAGGTCCCTTCAATGCCTCTGACATCTGCTGTCCCTGCCTTGGCTCCATGGGCAGGGACTTTGCTGTATTTTCTTGAGTAAGAGCACAGTTGGAAGGGCCTGGCCTCCCCTTCCCAGTGGGCAAGTTGCCGGTATCAAGCAGCTTCAGAACACCCACTGCAGGTGGTGAGCTCTCACAGGTGCAGGATTGAGGCCCAGGTATGCAGCAGGTATACAGCTGCAGCAACATCCAAGCATAGCAGGGTGGGTATGTGGGAGACAGCGCTGACTCACGCCTAAGCTCACCTGTGCCCTGCCCACCTCACCTGGGTCTCTACTTTACCCGTGTCCTGTCCTACTTCACCTGGACCCTGACCACCTCACCTGGGCCCTGCCCACTTCACCTGGGTCCCAGCTCACCTGTGCCCTGAGCACCTCCCCTGTGCCCTGTCACTCCTTGCCTGGGCCCCACCCCTGCCTCACCCATGACCAGTCATCCATTTCTGGCTCCCACAATGACCCTCTCAGCCCACAGGTATGTGCCCTGCAAGTCTGCCCATGGCTGGGCAGTGACAGGCATCCCCGCAGGGTGCCTTGCGGACGTTAGAGGGATGGGGGTCCCAAGGGACTGGACACCCCTCAGTCATCAGTTCCTAGGTCCCTCTGCTCTCCTTCAAGGCCCTCGGGGCTCTGGTGCAAATAGACCTTCCCGACATCTTTGTGAGTAGCCAGCACTCCCACGATCCCGTATCTAAGTCTGGCTCCACTTGCTACAGGGGCAAATGGCCCTGTCTACCTCACTAGCATGACCAGGGACACAGAGCAGGTCTCCAGGCATGGTACCTTATCTGAGGCCCCGCTGTCTAATGCCGCTGCATCCTGGGGCAACCACAGGGGTGTTACTTGCACCCTGCAGGCCTGGATTGGGGTCCAGGGCGTCATTACCGGCTGTGCCCAGCTGTTACCCTCATTCTCCAGCCAACCAGGCCCACTGTGGGGAGACCCTGCCCCAAGGCTGTGTCCACCTGTTGGCTGCCAGCATTTATTTATGTAGATAAGCACTGTCCACCACCGACCAGGTGAGGCAGGCACAAATCTCAGGCCACAGATCACGACGCCTGTGTGGTCCCCCTGTAGTTTCGCAGCATGGCTATTCAGGAACCCACCACTCGCTCCCTTAGGCATCTCCAAATGGGGTGGCGAGCTACGAGGTGGCACAGGGTGTGCCCAGTCCCCGGGAGAGGAAAGAGGAGAGAGGTGGAGTCCGGGGGGCCAGTATGGTTCAGCTCACATGGATGTAGATGGTATAGATGGGTGGGCAACCATCAGGAGGGGTGGCATGACTGCAGACATCCACCAGGTGTCCTGGGCACCACCCATGAGCTCCTTCTGTCTTCTGGCGCAGATGACCCCTCACTGCCCACTCAGATGGAGTTTTCTTGACAGTCACCCCACGCCCCGCTCTGGGCCACACTGCTGGGCCTGCAGGCAGAGGCCCGGGTCTTTGAGGGACGTGCTGGGTGACCCTGGGCAATTGGCTGCCCCTGTTTGGGCCTCATTTTTCTCCTCTCTGACGTGGAGGAACCCTCCAGGGCCAAGTGCTATGTGGCCTGTTGGTCCCTCAGCAATCCAGGCTCCCTTCATGCCTGCATGTGGCCTGATGCCACCTCTCAGATGAGTACAGGCCCTGCCACGGTGGCTGTACAGCTAGGAGACACGGCAGAGACTCAGCTCATGGGGCAGCTGGGGTCTGGGGCTGCTGGGCCCCTGGGCTGGCCTGGGCCAGGTGCCCGTGGGCTGCTGAGCTCAGGGCCTCCAACCACTGCTGCTGCAGCTCGGCGGACGGGGCACTCAGGTACAAAGACTGCTGGGCCTGCTGCAGCTGCCACATGTGTCCAGCATCCAGCCTCTCTGCGGGCTCTGGCACACTCACCCTGCAGCCAGAGAGGGGGATGGCATGCAGCAGCTGGCCATCCTGCAGGAAAGGAGAGGAGCGTCAGCACCCCGGCCTCTGGAGTCCTGGCATCACTAAATACCATCTCCCACAAGTGGGCAGCAGAAGGGTGATTCTGGACAGCCGAGGAAACTGAGGCCCTAGGGTCACATGAGCCACCCACCATGTGGGGTTGGGCCCAGGCTGCATGGCCCAGGCCTATCTGGGCGCCGCGGGCTTGAGGCTGTGGGCTGCCGGAGCAGGGTGGACCCCCACCCCCAGTGTGGCCCAGCGGACAGAGGACACACCTGGCTGCCTCCTCGAAGGTGCAGCACCAACTCCAGGGAGTCCGACTCAGAGATGGCAGCCCACACCTTGCTCCAGGCTGTGCCGCCATCCGACACCAGCAGGGGGCCACAGAGCAGGCTGGGCGGGGGGTCCACAGTGGCTGGCTTCTGAGGACACAGAGGACAAGTCAGGTGGAGTCTCCCTTGTAAGAGCCACTCTCCAGGAAGCACCAAGGCTGAAGCTTTTGGGGGAGAGAGGAGGGGGAGACAGACTGGACAAGGCCTGGGCCAGCCTGAGCTTCCCCAGGGCACTGCAAGGCCACTTGGGATTGGGCTGGACCTTCTAGGCAGTGAGACCACAAGAAGGGTCAGGACAGAAATAAAGATAAGGTAGGAAAAAATGGAACAGCAGGGAACCAGAATGTGGCGGCTGTTGATGATTTCCCTGTACACACACACACCTCTCACACGTAACATCACATACCCCACACACATTCACATCCTCCAGGACCAGGAAGAAATAAGTTTCTGTTGTTTAAGCTGTCCATCCTATGGTATTTGTTATACAGCCTGAACTGACTAATGCACCATCTAACCCCTGAGTGCAAACGGTTCCCAAGCTCTCGGCCATGACTGGATCCTAAGAGCCCAACACGCACACACGTGATATTTGGCATTCAACTGCTAGCTGCTCTCAGTGGCCTATGGACCCAACTGAGCCCTACCAGTCCTGGTCCCAGGGAAGGCGACAGCACTAGGAGCACAGTCTATCAAGGCTTCTGGGGTCTTGTGTCTGGAAGGCTCACCCAGCCCACCCACCTCTGTGCTCTGCTTGGGCTCCAAGGGCTCCTCGAGGCCGGGGCTCGAGGGGGCCACCGGCTGGGTCAGGAAACACTCTCCGCAGACACGGCTCTGCCTGCCGTTCTCAGCCTTGAACTCGGAGCACTTCCCACAGATGACCTGCAAGACAAGGGCACCTGTGACCCCAATGCCCAGGGACAGAAGACTATCCAGAAGGAGGCTGGAAGGAGAGGTGTAACGGCATGTGGAGGGGAAGGGCTTGTCTGTGAGACATGGGAGTCGGGAGCCTTGTCCACAGGGCAGAGACCCCAAGTCTGGCCCCTGCTGGGCCTCCAGAGCCTGCCTTCTTGCTCAGAAGTTCCAGGATCCAGGGGTCTGTGTGCATGGAAAGAAGATTTGGAGGAGGAACTAAGCACATGGAGGTCCCAGCAGCTGGCCTCCTTCCACCTGGACTCACCGCCCCGCACAGCTTGCAGTGGCGCTTCCTTTTGGTGATGGAGTTGAAGGTCTCGCCGCAGCTGCTGCAGCCCTGCTTCTCCTTGTCACGTCTGGTCTTAGAGGACCCTCTCCTGGGCTCAAGCTGTGGGAGGCAAACGGCTGCAGTCAGCTTCCCAGCACATGTGGAGTGGCAGCTGTGCGATACACAGGCAATGCACATGCAGGGCAAGAAAGCCGGACGTGCAGAAGGGAATTAAGCAGGAGCCACACTGGCCATGGCCCCCTGCCCAGCCTCACTCCCCAGAAGCTGCCCTGCTGTCACACGGGGTGAGATTCCAAGGGGAACAGGAACTCTATGCTTGGAATGACTTGTCCCACCACGGAGGTCAGTGACTTTGCGTGTCTGCAAAGATAACCACCGGAACCCACACTGGGGGGAACGGTGGCTGCTCTGCACAGGAGCCCAGACGCCAAGTACTGGGGTGTCTGCACCCAGCATCCAGCCAGGTGGCCCTTGCTTCCATGCTCTGCCCTTTATTGGACCCCAGAGCATGGTCCCTGCTCCATGCCAGGCACTCAGAGGTGTGCAGTTGCCTGCCCAACACGTGTGAGAGCACTCTCCAGGGGTGGGAGCAGGGTCAGGGGCTGGACTCCCCTCTCTATCTCCTCCGATGCTGCCTGAATTTCCCACAAAAGAGGGCAGTGATGAGTCCTTTCAGCAAGACAACGGGAAGTCATGAAACATGGTGTGTGTTCAGAGAGGTTAGAAGATCTTTAAGACTAGTCACAAGAACACACTATAAAATGCTTTTACTTCTTTTTTGTTTGTTTGTTTTCTTTTACGTTTAAACAAGCTGTTTTGTGTAAGGTTTCTCAAAAAGTTTTACAAGAACCACATCAAACTCCTTGGAGCAAAGAGGAATTGG